GTGAGCCCACTGGACAAGTTTTACTGTCCTTGGGTCTGGCTTCCAGCCCCTCTCCAAGGGGTGCAGCTGTCTGGAGGTGCTGCCTTCCACACCTGGCTCATTCACGCCTCATTCATTCAACAGGGCAATTGATTAAACGGGGTGGGGTGGGGGGGGGATCTTATTACATTTTTTTAACATTATCCCAAGGCTCAATACAAAGTTTTCTATATAAGGATCTGATACAAAGCTGTATGAAAATAGAAGCACAATACAAAGGTGTGTTTGTGTGTGTGTATGTGAGTGCATGAGTATAATATAGATCATCTGCATATGAGACAGTGTGGATTGATACATGTATTACTAATAAATGTGTCGCTTTGCCTAATCCCCCCTGAAAAGATCCTGTGCGGTACTTTAAGTCCAACACTAAAGAGGACAGGGATCGATTGATCTCTGTGTCCAGCGAGGGGAGGGCAAGAAGAAAGTTTGCAATGAGGGAGATTTAGATTGGAAATTAAGGAAAACTTTCTAACTTTAAGGCTATAGTAGCAACTGTCCAAGGCACAAGGCTGCAGGGCCCGTCAGAGCCGAGCCATGGGGGCCGGGGTTCACTGGTTGCAAACGCAGAGGCTTGGAAATCGGCTGCAGGCTGTGCGTGTCGGAGGCTGAGAGCCAAGAGAAGCAGTTGTGAGCGCGACCTTGGGAGGAAGCAGAGATGGGGCTTCTTGGGGCACAGAGCCTGCTAGAGGGGCAGGCGTGGGGATTTCTGAGTGTGACAAAGTGGGAATGTTCTGCAATATTTGTATGACCCCTGGGTGGGTCTCACTTTCCCCTATGTGTTGCATTGTTACAGGGATTTTTTTGGGGGGGCGGAACAGCCCAAACTTCAGCAAAAATCTCAGGCATGTGGAGCAACAAAATTATAAACTGATGAGGGTCTGTTTTAATAGTTGTATTATTTGTCATATCTGCCTTGGATTTCCTTGTTAAAGGCTGGGAAAGTCCCCATCGGGCTGGCTGTGTTTGGCTTTATTTGTACACCGCTTGGTCTGGCAGAACCACAGTTTGATTTCTCTCTCTCCCCCCAGTTCCGAGATGTCGCAGCCTCTCTGGCTGGCTGCCCTGGTCACCATCTCCCAGGCTCAGATGTCTACGGTGCAGCACGTCAGCCAAGCAGCGGTGAGTATCCATCCCATCCTCAGGCACTAACATCAGGACACTCCGGCTGACTGGGAAGCACTTTTGCGCCTCAGTTACTCACCACCAATTCCTGCAAATTATAAAGTGACAGCAGGGAACCAGGGAGCAATTGGGGTATTCAAGTGTTACCATAGTATAAATGTTTCCTATCATTAAGGACTCCTGGGTTCTCTCCCCAGCTCTGGGAGGGGAGTGGGGTCTAGGGGGTTAGAGCAGGGGGGGCTGGGAGCCAGGACTCCTGGGTTCTCTCCCCAGCTCTGGGAGGGGAGAGGGGTCTAGGGGGTTGGGGCTGGGAGCCAGGACTCCTGGGTTCTCTCCCCAGCTCTGGGAGGGGAGAGGGGCCTGGGGGGTTAGGGCAGGGAGGAAGGACTCCTGGGTTCTCTCCCGGCTCGGGGACCTTATTTCTCCCAAGAGCTCAGTGGTCATTGGAGTTAAATCAGCGCTAACTGGAAAGAAACCGTGTTTTAAACAGTCTGACCACAATGCTTTCCCCTCCCAGGTCTTGTCTACACAGGGGAGTGTTCTCACCATAACTTAAGATGCAACTGGTCCAATTATCCCAGTATATAGGGGGGACACTACGTTTGTTGTGGCTCCGCGGCTCTTTTCAATGGCGTGTACGGCGCTTGGCAAGGGCTTTCGGATAGATTGAGAAAAGGCTGCTCTTATACTGGGTGGTTAGACCAGTGTCCGTGTACTGGAATAACCGCACCTGTTTCACTATGGCTGGGTTATTAGAGCTGTACAATGCTCCTGCTGGGAGAGGCTGGGCTGGAGTAGCCGGGCGCTCCCCCCACAGCCAGCACTCCCTATGGGTTGTGGGGCACATAGATCTGTATTCCCTTGGGCATTAACCCTTTGTGTCCGCTAGGTACCGCTGATCCGGTATGGCGATCTCCTTCCCCTGGACCCAACGCAGCCCGGGCTGCAAAGCGAGAATGGATTCAATAGCACGTCGCCTGTGCTGGTGAGGTGTGTGGGGCTGGAAATGTTGGGGTGTGACCTGGAGTGCCTGGGGCAGCCCTCACTGAAAACGCCAAGGTCAGGGCAGGCTGCGAAAAGGAGATCAGAAGGTTCTTCCCAAACTGGAGGTTCACACTGAAGTTAGATTCACCAACCCGTCACCAACTGAGCTTCTCAACCCCCCCCCGCGCCGGTTATCAAAAAGCAAAAAAGAAATCACACAGCCCCCTTTCATTGCTGGTGGGTATTGAAGGCCAGGGGAGGCTAAGCCTCCCCTAACCCAGGTTGTGGCCCCGCTCATGCTCTGCCCCATGGCCCCACCCTTGCTCCCCCTCTCCCCTGAAGCCGGTGGGGGTGGGGCCTTGGGCAGAAGGGGCGGGGCCAGGGGCTAGCCTCCCCAAAAGGGGGTTCACGCGCCGCCCATGACCCCTTTACTGCGTTCCAGTTCTCTGGCTCCCAATCAGCACCGGTAAGGTGAGAAGTTATCTAAAAACTCTGCTCAATATATACAAAATGTTCTTCTGACCCCAAACGGCCAGCCACACTACCAGGTCGATATTAGTTTGGCTCTTACCCAAAATACCTACCTGCCGGCCAGTCCTTTAGACTGTAAAACTAACGGTTTGTTAGAAAAGAGAGACCAGGCAGAGTGATGTGAAATGGTAAAGCCCTCAGAGACCTAAAGAGATTTCCAAGTCCATAGATCAGGTTCTTAGCAGCACTGGTGAGGTTGCTGGCTAGAAAGTCCCTCTGGAGTCACCCACAGCTGGGATGGGTCAGTCAGTCCTTGCTCAGAGGAAAGTGACTCCAGAGGTGGGAAGCAGGATTGGAGACAACATAGAGAAGCTGCAGCTGCATTTTTCTCTCCTTTGCCATGCGGCTCGTACATCCTCGTCCCAAACACGAGCTCGCAGCACATGGGCCTGGAGACGCCTCGCAGCCCCTGTGCACAGGCCTGTCCCTACATGTGCTGCGGGCTCCTAGGTGCATCCCTCGGCACATGAGTCCATGGTACAGCTGACAACCCTCGATGGGCCATCGAGCAGGCCAGGCCATGCTGCTGCCAATCTGTCTGGGGATGTCACCCAGACACACAGCACAGGTTTGGAAATACAGAGACACCCCACCTATCTGTAACTCACCATACAAAGGTGATACAAACATAGAAAGGTGATTATCCTATTTAGCGAATTATAACTTTTCCACTGATACCTTACAGGCCATATCTGGCACGATTCCTTGCAATTTTATAATAGTGCTATCCTAAAGTGTCTCACGTATTCCGTACAGCGTCACGGGGGGCATGGGGTGGGCTGTGTGGTCCATGTCCAACCCCTCTGATGGGATCCCCCCGCTTCCCTTCCCACAGAGTGCAGGGCTTGCCGCGACGTGGGACACAGCTAAGCGCTGAGAGGCAGCTGGTGGTGGACACCGCCCTGGAGGAGGCGATGCGGGCTGGCCCCTGGGAGCCTGTCCGGGGGGTACGGAGTGGGGAACTTGGGGGAGGTGGGTGTGGGGGCAATTGGCTAATCAGGGTCCAGGCGGGACAGATGGAGGGAGGAAGCCAGGAATCAGCAGCCACCTTGAAATTTTTAATTTTCCCATCAGAAATGTGTGGGTATTGGACACGAGGATGTCATAAGGGCAGAGAGCTTAGAGCAGGGGGGCTGGGAGCCCGGACTCCTGGGTTCTCTCCCCAGCTCTGGGAGGGGAGTGGGGTCTAGTGGTTAGAGTGCGGGGGCTGGGTTGGGCTGGGAGCCAGGACTTCTGGGTTCTGGTCTCTTATACAATTCCTTTCTCATTCATGAGCTTTATTTGCATCTGTAAAGTGACCCACCACTGTGTGTATGCGGGGGGAGTGACCCTCGGGCTGGGCTGGAGGGAGTTACCTGGGAAGCCCTTTCAGGCTGTGGGGTGATAAGGGCTGGGGAAAGCCGGAGAACGGGAGACAGACCTAGGCCGTGTCCCCACAGTCCGGATACACTGGTCCTGCTTCTGCCCTGTGTGTTTCCCTACCGGCAGGTCGGCGCTGGGGAGCCTCTTCACAGCCCTGCCCCAGCTCTAGTATCCCTCTGGCTCGGATTGGGTTTGGGCTTGGCAATCGCACTGTATGCTGTGAGTATCTGCATTGCTGGCCCCTGTCTTCCCCCTCTGTACCCCCCCCCCCCCCCTGCCGGTGCCCCCCCCCCCCGCCCCGCAGCCCCTGCTAGCCCAGCCCTGGGCCCCCCTCAGCTCTGCCGGTGCCCCTCAGTCCCGACCCGCAGCCCCTGCTAGCCCAGCCCTGCTCCCCCCAGCTCTGCCGGTGCCCCTCACTCCCGACCCGCAGCCCCTGCCAGCCCAGCCCTGCTCCCCCCAGCTCTGCCGGTGCCCCTCACTCCCAACCCGCAGCCCCTGCCAGCCCAGCCCTGGGCTCCCCCCAACTAATGCACAGTCACTTCAAACCAGGTTAACCAGATTAGGTTCCCCATTGTGCCAGGTGCTGCACAGACCCCGGCTGAGATCAGGCCGCGCAGACCAGCCCCTTCCCAGTCCGTGACGTGCTCTGTGGTGTGGTCAGCGCAGACATCAGCAGCACGCTCCAGACTGTCACTATAAGGGCGGGAGAAAGGGAATCACCCCCCCCCCCCAAATCACCTGACCCCGGGACCAGGGCGGCTGCTGCCCGGCCCAGCCCGTGTGTCCCCACACTGAATTTAGGGGACCCGCACCAGTGAATTGCCACAAAGCATCCCGGTGGCACGGATGGCCCTGCTGCTTGGCCTGGGTTGGGGTGGCTCTGGCTGGCCATGCTGTGGGGTGCGGGGTGGGGGGGTGTTGAGCATGGGGGTGGGCTGTGCACAGATTAGCATTTGTACATGAACCATCTCTGTCTGGAATTCCTTTGCACCGGCTGGCCGGGGCCTCAGCTTTGGGTACACAGGCCGGCCCCTCCGCACACCTCCTGGGGCCCTGGAAATGCCCATACAGAGTCACCGCAGTCCAGACGGAGAGCGGAGCGGGGACAGGTTAGTGATGGTGATAGACAGCAGAAATGCCGGGGTCCTTCTTCCTTTGTAATGAGTACTGCCCCCCAAAGCTCCAGTGTGGTCCTAGGGGTGCCATGCCATGGGTAGAGGGCTTGGGGCTCAGCAGGGGGTGCCGGGGAGCAGGGGGCGGGGGCTCGGTGGGGGCGCTGTGCCGAGTAGGGCGAGGGGGGGGGTCGGCAGGGGGGGGCTCTCCACTGGCAGTCAGTTCTGGCCTCGTTGCAGTACTAGGGGGCCCTGATAGAAGCATTTATTCCCAGGTATTGCCAGTGTCCTATGAACAGCTTCCCCACCCCAGAGGTGGCCGCATCTCACCGCCTGGCCAAGGGGTCCCTGTATAACCAGTTCCTGTGCCCAGAGGGTCCACATCCCAGCTCCAGGCGAGGGGCCCCTGTATAAACAGTTCTTGTGCCCCACCCCAGAGGGGCTGCGTCCCAGCGCCAGACGAGGGGTCCCTAGATACCCACTGACCAGAAAGCACTTTGGGTATTTATCATAGCAGATGGTTCCCTTTGGGCCAGTCCTGTTGGGTAGTTGGGAATTTAACTTCCGCCCCCACAGACACCTGGTTCCCTGCCGCAGTTTGGGAGTCCTGGGCTCTGGGCTCGGTCTGGTTTCACATCCCTACATGCCCAGCTGGTCGTCCCCTGCCACGTGTCTGGGAAACGGGGGCGCCCCAGGGCTGCTAGGTGTGAAACGCTCGCTCCCTGCTGCAGGCGTACGACATGAGTGGGGCGCGGCGGGCCCTGACGCTCTGCGTGCTGAAAGATCGGCCGGGCGCGGAGAATGACATCGAGGCGCTGGACAGGATGTATACAACTTTTGAATTTCAGAACACGCTGGTCAAGGACCCGACTGCATCCGTAAATAGCACTGTAACCAGGGCGCCCTGGTGGCACGGGGCTGGTTCTGCCACAACCCTGCCTCAGTTTCCCCATAGGCCCTCCAGCTGGGTCACTCGCGTGCAGTCCCCTTTCAAATCATGCAGAGTCTGCCCATAGTCAGTCCACCCTGGTGACCCCCCTTCATGTTCCCCACCCCACCATATCACTGGCCCCAGCAGTTCGCCGATGTTCGGGGCCTTCCCAGCCTGCTCCCCTTAAGGGGAGACTTTGCTGCTAGGAGTCGGGTCTGTTCTTTGAGGTGGTCTGTTTATTTGCAAACCATGTCCTTGCAGGCCCATTTGCCTGAGCATGGTGGAAGCAAACAGAATCCCAGCCCCGGGGGCATGGGAAGGAGGCTTTGCCCGTATTAGCTGTTCACACAACGCCATGGGGCTGGTGCACTCCCTGTCATTGCTTTCCTGACCGTCACAATTTCATCCCGAAGCAATTCCAGACTGAGCTGGTGAGCTTCCGAGAGCGGATTGACCAAATCCGAGGCCCGGTCAGCTGCTGCTTCGTGGTCATCATGGCGCATGGGGACAGCGGAGTTGTCAAGGCGGCCGATGGACAGTACGTGAACCTGGAGGAGCTGTTCGCAGAGATGACCAACGAGACCTGCCGAGCGCTGCGGGGCAAACCCAAGGTCTTCATCATCCAAGCCTGCCGGGGGGGTGAGTCCGCGGCTCAGATCCCCCCTCCTTTGAGTGGGTAACCCAGCACCAGATTTAATTCTTTCATTCCGACCCCTCCTCCCTGGCCACATCTACACAGAGTGGCTCGCCGGGCGGGTGAGCCTCCTGGCAGAACGGACAAGCGCAGTGTGGGAGCCTGAGCGAGGGGCTGGGGGATCTCCCTAGAAGAGAGTGTCAGCCCATGACTCTGTTTAGAGTTGAGGTGTTTACCCGTCCCCCCCCCCCCCAAGTTTTGGACTCCCCACCCCACAAGGGCCTGGCCTGACATTTGACACAGCTGGAGGTTTACATCAGACCCTGCAAGAGACAGTGGCCAAACTGCAGAGACCACGTGGCCAAGTGAGTTGTGCCCTGCTGAGCCTCAAGGGGAAGCTGCAGAGGCAAACGTGGTCACACCCGGGGTAAAATCTATTACCTTTTCCCACCCCTCCCCAACCCCCCATGTGTTAGCTAAGGGAGGTAACCCCAAGCTCCCAGCTAATGTGGGTTACAGCTACAATTTCCTTTTCTTCACACTCAGATTGTAACACCCATTTAAGCAAACCCCAGCGTAGTCATCCCCTTCTACTTTGTATCTCACATGCAAACTGCGTTTGAAGAACACTGAAGTTGCAAAGTCGAGCACTGAAAAGTTAGGGAAGGCCAGAATTAAGGATGCCCCTGCAACCTTAACTCTGCCCTGTTGTGTCCAACAGCCTGAAGTACAGGCAGCAGTCCCAGCTCAGTATATAACACACAACCCCACTCATTCCTCACCCTGTACACAGGCCCTTCCCTACCAGCGGAAAGGTGGCATTTGGCTTAACTTGAGTTTTACATCAACTTAACTGATGACCAATTAACTCAAGGTAGAAAACTGTGTAGGGTAAGAGAAACTGACAGGGGGTCACTTCCTCATTCTCCTCCTCCAAACACTGGTGTGCCACAAGGCCTGCAAAAAACTCACCAGCAGTCACGAAGCTGGGACCCCTCCAGTTACTGGTCAGTTTGGTCTCATTGCTCCCTTGGGCTCCTCCGTCTGCCTGTCTTCCATTGGCTCTCTTGGCTTACATCAATATTGTTGGCTCTTCGGGGCAGGGATCATGGCTTGTTCTGGGTCTGTGCAGCGCCTGGCGCAACGGGGTCATGGGCCATAACTAGGCTGCTAGCATATCCCATAATACACAGAATAGAAAATGCACAGCACCTCACACAGGGGAGTCTAAGACACATAATTAATAATGACTTGATGGTGATTTCTTTTTGGAGCAAGTCGGAAATGTACAGGGGGCATCACAGCAACACAGGGAAAGAGACACAGGCCCAGCCCCGCAGATCTTACAGCTAAGAGCCAGTCAAAAAATAGCAGCGGCCGCACTTTTAAAGAGTGGCTCTTTTTCATTCCCCGAGCGGCTCCCAGCTGCGAGTGCCAGCCTCAGGGCAGACCGTGAGAAAGCCGGGCACATGTTAGTTGAATTCAAGCCTGTAGCCCAATGGCACCAGAACCCAAGCAGTCCCGAGACCGAGAATCACTCCCAGGATCCAGTATTTTATAGATCTTGCTCACAGGCGCCTTCATCCCACCATGGGCTCTGACGGATCGCCCGGGCAGACCGTCTGTGGGCTTCCACCGTGGCTTTGGAGTTAACGTTCTACTTCCTATCGTACACATGTGACCCAGTGCCAGTGATCTACAAAATGTAATTGCCGGCCGTTCGTTCTAGTAGGGCCAGAGAAGGGGAAACATTTCAGGTATCGTTCATTAGTATTCGTGCATTAAGTAAATCTTCATCTAAATGCTAATACATCATCAGAACATGAGAACGGCCAGACTGGGTCAGACCAAAGGTCCATCTAGCCCAATATCCTGTCTACCAACAGTGGCCAATGCCAGAGGCCCCAGAGAGAATGAACAGAACAGGGAATCATCAAGTGATCCATCCCCTGTCATCCACTCCCAGCTTCTGGCAAACAGAGGCTAGGGACACCGTCCCGTCCTGGATAATAACCAGTGATGGACCTATCCTCCAGGAACTTATCTAGTTCTTTTTTTAACCCTGTTATAGTCTGGGCCTTCACAACACCCTCTGGCAAGGAGTTCCACAGGTTGACTCTGTGTTGTGTGAAGAAATACTTCCTTTTATTTGTTTTAAACCTGCTGCCTGTTACTTTCATTGGGTGACCCCTAGTTCTTGTGTTATGAGGAGGAGTAAACAACACTTCCTATTTACTCTCTCTACACCAGTTATGATTTTATAGATCTCAGTCATATCCCCCCTTAGTCGCCTCTTTGATTTAAGGCTAATTAAGCACAGGATACAGACGTGGAAAAGGACATTGCAACAACAGGTTAATTTAGTTCAGGGGTGGGCAAACTACGGCCCGCGGGCCACATCTGGCCTGCAGGACCGTCCTGTCTGGCCCTTGAGCTCCTGGCCGGGGAGGCTAGTCCCCGGCCCCTCCCCCGCTTTCCCCCTCCCTTGGAGCTACGCCGCCGCTCAGGCACCTCCCAGGCTTTCCAATAAGCCAGTCCTGCTGCTCTGAGCGGCATGGTGAGGGGGTGGGGAGTGGGGGGGGGTAGATAAGGGGCAGGAGGTCCCGGGGGGCAGTCAGGGGACAAGGAGCAAGGGCAGTTGGATGTGGTGGAGGTTCGGGGGGGGGGTGGTCAGAGGACAGGGAGCAGGGGCGGTTTGATAAGCGTGGGAGTCCCGGGGGGCAGTCAGGGGACAGGGAGCAGTTGGATGGGGCGGAGGTTCTGGGGCGGGGTGTTGTCAGGGGACGGGGGGGTTGGATAGGCATGGGAGTCCCAGGGGGCAGGGGTGTGGGTAGAGGTCGGGGCACTCAGGGGACAGAGACATCGGGGGGTTGGATAGGGGGGTGGGAGTCCCGGGGGGGGGCTGTCAGGGGGCGGGGTGTGGATAGGGGGTGGGGCAGTCGGGGACAGGGAGCAGGGGCGGTTGGATAGGAGGTGGGGTTCCAGGGGGGTGGTATGGGGACAAGGAGTGGGGGGGGGGTTGGATGGGTCGAGGGTTCTGAGGGGAGCAGTCAGGGGACAGGAAGTGGGAGGGGGCAGATAAGGGGCAGGGGCCAGGCTGTTTGAGGGGGCACAGCCTTCCCTACCCAGCACTCCATACAATTTCACACCCCGATGTGGCCCTCGGGCCAAAAAGTTTGCCCGCCCCTGATTTAGTTACACTAGTACACATCAGACAGGGTATATGTACAATGCAAATGGCATTCAACCCGTCACAAACAAATAAAGACAATAACCTCCACATTTAGCAAACAAGTGACTGGAACACTGTAAGGTCTTTACCTGCTAGCCAGCTGACAGCGCCGCATCCCCACTTTGAATTTTTTGCTGAATTTTTGTTTTAAATTGACCCTGTTCTCTGGCATCCCCACCCCCCACATGCACATCAAAATGGACAGTTAGGCAGGGAGAGGAATCAACTCTGAAATGAAACCAAAAGCAGAAAACAATAAAAATCCCCTCTTCTTAAAACGGCCAAATTTTGGCTTTAAACTGCAACTTGTAACTTGCTGAAAACATTTGGGTCTCAGAAGCATCTTCTGGCGGGGAGTTCCACAGGCTAATGATGCTTTGTATGAAAACCATGTTTCCTTGCATCGGTTTTAAATGAGGTCCTTCTAGGGCTTGTTTTATGAGATGTGACATGTGCTGGATCTAGCAACCACTAGCTGAGTGTGTGTGACTCTGCTACATTCTCATTTCTGTTTCTGAAAGGAAGTTATTTTATGCTTTAGGAAGAGGAGACCCAGGTGTGCTTCAATGTGATAGGCTTGTAAGTGACTCGGTCAGCCAGGTCCGTCGCAGGCGGATTCCTATACACACCGACCGCCTCTTCGTCTTTTCGTCCAGAAACGGTACCAATGTGACCCTGTTTCCACCCTGCTCGTATCAAAGTAGCTGAAGCTGCAGCCTCGTGCTGTACAGGAACTCCTCACGTCACGCTGTCGCTCCGCTCCTGAAAAATGCCACTTTAAGCGAAGCGACGTTAAGTGAATCCAATTTCCCCATAAGAATGAATGGAAATGGGGGGCGGGGTTAGGTTCCAGGGACATTTGGTTTTGCCATACAGTGCAGTACTCTAGTGGGGAGGTGCCCCCGCCTTACCCCACACAGCCACAGCCCCTGGCACTGCAGACAAGGAGGCTGAAGGTGCTCTAGGCTCGGAGAAGCACGTTGCGCAGCGGCAGCTTCCCCTACTCTGCAAGCACCGGGGTGGGGGACTCAACCCTCGGCCCGCCCACGCCACCCCTTCCCCCAAACCCCCACCCTTAACCGCCTCTTCTTCCCCCTCCTTCCCCCTTTACTCCGCACGCCGCGTCCTCGCTCCTCCCCCCTCCCTCCCAGGGCAATCGGCCGGCTTGCGGCGTTGAGGAGGCAGGGGAGGGCGGGGGAGCCTGCGCGCTGAGTCCTCGCTCCTCCCCTCCTGCCTCCTGAACGCTGCAAGCCAGTTGATTGCCGTGGGCAAGAGGCGGGGGGAGGAGGGGGAAGGCGCTGATCCGCGGGGTCTACTGGCGGGCGGGAGGTGCTGGTGGGGGGCATGGGTAGCTGATAGGGGGGCTGCCAGTTGTGGACAAAGCAGGCAGCCAAACGGCATTATAGTGAAGCATTGCACAACTTTAAATGGAGCATGTTCTGTAATTGAGCAGGGACGTAAGATCGAAACAACGTTAAGCAAGAGGACGTTAAGTGGGGAGTTACTGTACTTGGCTCATTACACTTTTGTTATAAGGGGGAGATCAGGACTCCTGGGTTCTGCCCCTGGCTGTGGAAGAGGAGTGGGGTGCAGTGGGTCAGAGCAGGGGAGCTGGGAGCCAGAACTCCTGGGTTATAGGGTTGCCAATAAGGCTGTCAATCACAGTTAACTCAAGCAATTAACTCAAAACAAATTAACATGATTAAAAAATTAATTGTGGTTTTAATCACACTGTTAAACAGTAATAGAATACCAACTGAAATTTATTATAAATATTTTGGATGTTTTCTACACTTTCAAATATATTGATTTGAATACGAAGTGTACAGTGCTCACTTTATATTATTATTTTTGATTACTGTACAAATATTTGCACTGTAAAAAAGATAAACAAAGAAATCGTATTTTTCACTTCACCTCATACAAGTACTGTGGTGCAATCTCTTTATCGGGAAAGTGCAACTTATAAATGTAAAAATGTTTTTGTTACATAACTGCACTCCAAAATAATGCAAAACTTTGTCCTACAAAGTCCACTCAGTCCTACTTCTTGTTCAGCCAATCGCTCAGACAAACAAGTTTGTTTACATTTGCAGGAAATAATGCTGCCCGCTTCTTGTTTACAATGTCACCTGAAAGATATTTACGTGCCAGATGCGCTAAAGATTCATATGTCCCTTCATGCTTCAACCAGCCTTCCAGAGGACATGCGTCCATGCTGATGATGGGTTCTGCTCAATAACAATCCAAAGCAGTGCAAACGACCCATGTTCATTTCCATCATCTGAGTCAGATGCCACCAGCAGGAGGTTGATTTTCTTTTTTGGTGGTTCGGTTTCTGTAGTTTCCGCATCAGAGGGTTGCTCTTTTAAGTCTTCTGAAAGCATGTGCCACACCTCGTCCCTCTCAGATTTGGAAGGCACTTCAGATTCTTAAACCTTTGGTTGAGTGGTGTAGCTATCTTTAGAAATCTCACATTGGTGCCTTCTTTGCGTTTTGTCAGATCTGAAGTGAAAGTGTTCTTAAAACGAACAACATGTGCTGGGTCATCATCCAAGATTGCTTTAACATGAACTATATGGCAGAATGCGGGGAAAACAGAGCAGGAGACATACAATTCTCTCCCAAGGAGTTCAGTCAAAATTTAATTAATGCATTTTTTTTTTAATGAGCGTCATCAGCATGGAAGCATGTCCTCTGGAATGGTGGCTGAAGCATGAAGGGGCATACGAATGTTGTATCTGGTATTCTATTGCTTAACAGTGCGATTTAAAACTGCGATTAATCATGATTTAATTTTTAATCGTTTGACAGCCTTAGTTGCCAACTTTGTAATATTTAAAAGCCTCCCCTCCCCCGCCTCTTCCCCCTGAGGCCCTGTCCCCCATTTGCTCCTCTGCCCCTGTCGCTCTCTGCTCTTCCTCCCCCTCCCCCTCTGCCCGGGTTCGGAGGGACTCACCTGCAGAGCCAGGGCTGGAGCTGCAGCCCTGGCTGAGTAGGGGCTGGCGTGGGTGATGACCTGGCACCTCCCCACCTGCAGTAACTGGACTTTGGGTGTCCGGTGACTTTTCAACCGGACCTTCTGGTTGAAAACTGGGCCCCTGGCCACCTTATTTGGGAGAGGTGGGGAGACTAGTGGTTAGAGCAGTGGGGGCGGGGAGCCAGGACTCCTGGGTTCTCTCCCCGGCTCTGGGAGGGGAGTGGGGTCTAGTGGTTAGAGCAGGGGGGTTCTGGGAGCCAGGACTCCTGGGTTCTCTCCCAGCTCTGGGGGAATAATGGGGTCTATTAGTATTGTTCTGCAGAACTTGCCCCCGACAGCGCAGTCTTGCTATTGGAAGCTCTAGCCGTCTGGCACATCCTGAGGTATCTTTGTTCAGTGAATCCAAGTGTCTGGTCTCACCCTGACTCCAGCCGCTTCAGGCTGGGAGGCGGTGAAGTCCTGTGTGGGTCTGTGGTTTTAATGACTCTCCCTCCTTCGTCCGCAGGTTATTACTCGATTAGAAATGAAATCACAGGCTCTTGGCTGATTCAGACCATGGTGGATGTGTTCACTGCGTACCCCTACTGGGACATCATGGGGCTATTCACCGAGGTAAACGCATGGCTTCTGGAGAGGTTCTGTTGCTATCGAGTGGGAGGATAAGTGACCGTCTGCTGGGCCCAGCAAAGGGAGATCTCCCTAGCTTCTTTGTTTCTGGAGATGCAGCAGAGTTCAAATCCCAGCTGCCCAAGGCTCTGTGTGGTTGAATGAATGGCTGGCGCTTTTACAGCATGTGACCGGCCCACAGGAAGACTGTTTCTAAGGGGCATTGAGGGCTTATCAGCACCAGTATAACATAAGGTGGGAATTTAAACTGACCTCTCAAAGTGGTGCAAACCCAGCACACTTCATTCAATTTAAACCTGGCTTATTCCAGGCTATTTTAAGTCGAGTGGGAACAGTTGTTAGGGTGCTACAGAGTGAAACGGGTGCAACGATGTTTAACTGTTATACGTGTGCATTTATATAACACACTCACACAAATATACTGTAGAGCCAATACAGCTACCTCTGTATTTGTGTATATGCACATATGCGTTATACAGACAAATGTGTGTAGAAATATAAAATATATTATTTATACCCACCTTTTCTATATTTTATAAAATTCTAACAAAGAATATATTATTTATACACAAAATATATATTTTGTATTACATAAGATATATAAAGTATGTGGGTATAAATATAAAACATAGATACATTATAATCCCTAGCGCTTATCTAGCACTTGTCTCAGCAGTAGATGACAAAGCACTTTTCAAAGGAAGGATGTATCATTAACCCCATTTTACAGATGAGGAAACCGTGTGTGTGTGTGATGGGTTGGACCCCCCCTTCTGGGATGCCACCTGATGTACTGGGGTTTCACTGAGCCCCTCCTGCTCCACCAGCCTGGGTTCCCTCCCCGTTTTGCTGAATTAGGCTCTCCGGCCTCTGGCAGCACACACACACGTAGGGCCACACCCGCTGCAGACACAGACTGAAGCCAGCTCTGTGTGAGAGGACTCCCCCAGCACTCACATGCACACCCCTTTGGGGGATAAACCCAAAATAATACTGTCTGGCGCTGTATAGACAAATCTGCACAGCGCAAGCTCATAAAAATCCACCCTCTCCCTCAATGTGAACAGAGAGGTGCACTGCTTCTTGCCCCCCCCCAGTTAGAAACTACATAAACTGAGTTTTATTATAAACAAGAAATAAGTTTATTAATGACAAAAGGTGAATGTAAAGAGATGACCTAAGCCACAGACTGAGCTTCACACACGAGATAGGTAGGATACAAATTAGCAAATTCTCACCCTGAGCGGTAAACAGGCTGGCAGATTCTTAAGGCACAAGGTGCCGTGGCTTTCCCAGGTTTTCATACACAGGCTAAAGATCTTAGCCTGGGCCCATCACGTCTCACAGTTCAGTCTTTGTTTTTCAGGTGTGTTGTTGTAGGGAGAGTGACGACCCCTCATGTTGTCATTGTCCTTCTTGTATATCTGGAAAGCTTTTTTGCTGTGACCTGGGTCAAACAGTTCCCAGTGTGTAGCAGTATCTCGGAGAGGTTTCTATTGCACACAGTTCCTGGGGTAATCCTTGTGCTTGTGTGCATTTCTTCCATCAGCCACTAACCTTGTTTGGCCTCATCCAACATAGCTTTGAGCAGGGGGTGGGACTAGAACCTCCTGAGGTCCCTTCCAACCCTGATCTTCTATGATAAATACAGAGACATGGTCAATATTCCCAGCTTCAGATACAGAAATGATACATGCCTACAAATTGGATAAACACATTCAGTAAATCAGAACCTTTCCAATGAGACCTCACATGAACCATCTTGCATAAAGTACATCTTAGTCATAACAGATTCGTCTCATAACCATATTTCCATGAAGAATATGGGGTGTAACGTCACATTGTGTTCAGGGATCAGGCCTCCAAACTCCTGAGCCTGGCTTAAAAATCATGAACTTCCCCCCAAAACGATGCCTTCCCCAGTTGTTTGCCGGGTTGTTGCCTTGTGGGTCCCAGGATATTAACGCGACAAGATGCGGGAGGTCATATCTTCTATTGGACCAAGGGACAAGCTTTCAAATGACAATGCTCAGTCCGCCCCCTCCAAGGAAACGCGCCCAAAGGCCAGCCTGGGAACTACGTCATAATGCCGCTAGACAGTACAACACGTGGGCTTAATAGGGACACTGGCTCCTTGCAACAACCTGTAACCCCCACCTGTCTGCTACCCCTTAATGTCCCACCTCAAACCCCTTCTGCAGAACAATCGAACCCCCTCTCACGTGACCTCCTACAAGGTGTGACCCCATAAGCTTCCCTGCCTGTCCCAACTGGTATTTAGCTCCGATTTCTTTCTCCAGCCCTGCAGCAGAGCTCCAAAGCTTGTCTGTCTCCCCAGCAGAAGTTGGTCCAATAAAAACCATGATCTCACCCGCACCAGAAAACAGATACAAAGCTCTCTTTTTTTAAAGAGACAAGGCAGGCGAGGTCTTAGCGCCTAGCTCAGTCATGGCCCAGAACCCCATTGTGCCAGGCACTGTACGTGAGGTGTATTACAGTCATGCCTAGTCACTCAATCCTGGCCCAGACCCCGCTGTGTCAGGTGCTGTGCAGACACAGAAAAACAGATGCCCCAAGGAGCAGACGATCTTACTTTGTGTCTTGACTTTTCAGAACTCTTCAGTCTGCAAAAATAATATTTGTTTGGGGTTTTTGGTCCCAATTCACGGACCGGAAATTCCATTTTCCAGTCCGGTTTTGCTCCCACGTTAGCCAGAGGCATGCAGCAGTTACACAGCGTATACAAAGGGAAGACGGGTATTTCACTGAGTTTGTTTTGTCTTCACCATGCCTGCTTCTCTTCACGTTACACCCCCCGACTGTGGGAGGGGGTTAAGTTATTGCCACAGGACCATCTTTCCCCTGATAGATTTGTATTTTCAAATGACTCGATCCTCTTCTAGGTAACGAACATGATTTCTAACAGAGAGTTCATGATGGAGGACAGAGAAAACCAAAGGGAAACCAGAATAACTCACCCGGAAATAACGTCCACTCTAACAAAAAAGCTCTATTTGAAGGTAAGTCGGAGTCTTAACCGTTTTCCCGCTGGTTTGTGAAACATACATTTCACACAGCTAACTCCACCATCAATCTCAGAGCGCCAAAGGTAAAAGAAAGCAGCACCCATTCTGCCTGTCCTTCTGATCAACCGGTAGCGCACTGGCGTGAGAACTCAGGACTCCTGGGTTCTAACCCCGGCTCTGGAAGAGGAGTGGAGTCCGGGGGGGGCTGAGAGTCAGGACACCTGGGTTCTCTCCCTAGCCTGGATGTATTCCCTATACCGTTCCATGGTCAACATACATTTTGTTGTTTTCCCCCAGGAGTAAGACTCACAGATCAGACCCTGGGCCTGTCTAACACAGCTTCTCCTGTCCCGTTGTGCCCAATGAGACTTTCCGCCCATCCAAAACAGTCTTTGCACCAATACCCCTGCGCCTCAGACTCTTAGCGCATTCAGACAAACACTCTAAGCATCCAGACCCACAGCCTTCACTAGAGACAACCAAGTCTCCAGCTCTCACGTCTGCCGAGAACCAGAGAAAATGGGGTCAGAGGGCGCCACTGGCCTAAGTGTGACTGATACAGCGGCACTGCCTGAATCTGCAGAGAGCCTGAACCGATTGCTCGGACAGGTGTGAACTGCCCCAAGTGTGACCAATGCCTGGGGTGTAACTGACACTGCCTGAATCTGCAGAGATCCTGAGCCGATAGCAGGGAGTGGTGTGAACTGCCCCGAGTCTAACTGAGGCAGAAAAGTCTGCCGGAGACAGAGATTTTAAGGCCAGAAGGGGACGTCTGATGATCTAGTCTGACCTCCTGTTTAACCCAGGACCGAAAACGTCACCCCGTTACCCATGCACTGAGCCCTACAGCTTGTTTGGCTAAAGCATCTTCCAGAAAGGCAGCCTGGCTGGAGATGAAGCCTGGCAAGAGATGTAGAAACCACCTCTTCCCTGGCGAGTTTGTCCCAGTGGCTTGTTGCCCGTGCTGTTAAAACTCGGCCTGATTTCTAGGCTGGGAAAGTCAAAGTCGCTCTCCCTATCTATGCACAAACCAGCAAAAAGCATTTCCATTGACAATCACTGAAATGTACAGGTAGGCAGAGGCGGATTACTGTTTTGGGGGGCCCTGGGCCAGAGCAAGTGCCCCCCCCACCAACACGCCTGCCAGGGATATGGGGTGGGGGCGCGGGGGCTTCCCCAGCTCCCCAGCAGGAGCGCCGGGCGGCAGGAGCGGGTTGGGGCGCGGAGGTGCCCATTTTCCCCAGGGCTAATCCGCCCCTGCAGGTAGGCAAGGTAAGAAAACCGCTGCTTGAGAACGTCTGAGCGTTTGTTTTCTGGATATTGACTCCGAAGGTTTTGATGTGGGACGTTGACAAAGTGTGTGTTAACTTTGAATTTCAGTGGCCGCTGGCATTAAATAATATTGTCTGTCTCCCCTTGCTTGCACCCCCAGCATTTTGCACAAGTGTGAAAATTTAAATCGCTAATAAAAAAATACTTTAAAAAATCACCATTGCTGTTCTCCATCGAAATTATGGAAACATAAAAAGTGACTTCTGCGAGGGGTCCGCCTTTCTCATTCGAATGTGTGGGGCTTTCACTTCCGGCCGTTGGGTCGTGTTCTGTCTTCCTCCGCTCCTGAAAAAGCTCTTCAGCGCCTGGGATTTTCTCCCGGGGCAGGCGTTTGTACACACGATCAAGTCACTTCGCAATTTTCTTTTTGGGAAGTTCAACAGAGTAATCGCTTTAAGTCTGTCACCGGAAATATTTTCTCCCGCCATCAAACCTTTTTTTGTTTCTCTTCTATGCACCCCTTCCAGTTTGCCTGAAACAACTGCTCAGGGTTGGGGGGTGTCAGTCAATGTGGTGTTAACTCTGAAACCTTCTGATATATAGTTAGGCGTCGTCATTATTGAGTCTTAATGATTCATAGAGTCCAAGGACCATTGTGATCATCTGGTCTGACACCCCCTGGGTGACACAGGCCAGAGAACGGCCCCCAGATAATTCCCAGCCTGTTGTTAAATATTCCCCATGTAGCGATAGATCGGGATCAAGTCATCCCTTAACCCTCTTCACGGTAACTAGACAGACTCCAGAAGCTCATGCAGCGAGTGTGCCTGGTCTCAGCTCCTCACCCCAGTGAGTTCTTGGGGCCTGTTTCAGCTCCACCCAGCCCCATATCCTGGCTCGCAGGGGGGGCAGGGAGGGGGCTCAGACCCCCCCTCCCCGATCCTGGCATGCCCATGGGTACCTCAGGCCCTGTTCTCTGCCTCTTCCTACTGGCCTGTCCTTCCCCTCCATCTCCCTATCCCCCCGCAGCCCCCGTACCCATCCCCCTGCCACTTAATGTGCCTGAACCCCCTTTCCCCAGTGCCCCTCCCAGCAAATGTTCCCCCCCCAGAATAAACAAAACAAAAAGACCCTCTGCCCAAGACAGATTTTAGCACCTCGAGCTGGATCCATGGGTTCTCCGGCTGGCTGGGGGCAGGGGTGTGTGTGGGGCAAGATGGGTGGTTGGAGGGG